ATTTAAAATTGAGGGTAGGGCACCAGCGCCAGAGGTGGGTTTGAATACACAGAACGTCCTCTGGACGCCGTATAACGTGTCCACCCCCAAGGCCCTATATGTATGTGTTATGAGCAGTGTTGGGTAAGTTACTTTAAAAAAGTTATTAATTACTAATTATGATGCGTAATCATGGGAACAAGTGGGTTTACAAACGGGAGCAAAAGCTGAAATAATGCCTCTACTGAAGCCAATTGCACTAAATGCACTAAATGTGCACTGTTACAAGAATATTTTTCTTTCTGTTGTTTTCTATTAATTTATATAATTTTAAGTTAAGCAGGACAGTTCTTTTAAAGAAAGATTTATTTTATTCTCAAAAGTTAAGCATGACAGGCTTCTGTTTAAGAAAGAGACCTGTTTTATTGTGTTAATGTTGTCATTTTGAGCTAAAAATAAATGGCTAAATGATTTTTGTTTCCCATGTGTTGATATCACAAAGAATATGCATCTACTTAAATCAAATTCAAATCAAATGGTTAAAAAAACAATTTCACACACAAAAAAAAGAGCTACAAAATTCACCACACTGGGAAGGGTAAAGACAACTGGGTCGCCCGGCACGCCACGAGGTGTTTTCACACTTTTCACACTTTTCTCTCTTGTTTATACACAAAGTTCAAACCTTGGTAGAAACATGCCCAACATTATACAATGAAACCAACTTCAGAGTCACACTGCGAGGGATCAAAGATTTATGTACATTTGACAAGCTGAGAAGGTTTACTTCTTCTTGACCTCACTGATCTGTGTGATATCCCAGCTGGAGAGGAAGAGTCAGATGAGGCTGGAGTATTTTTCATCAAAGCTTTATTATCAGTGCACACTGGGAGATCCCACTACATGCAGTCACAGCAAGCACCATGTGGATCTTGGGGGGTATCTTACTGAGGAAGCTCTTACTCCTCATTTTATGACAGGCAGACCCCCACTGTCAATAAATTCCTCACTCTGCACAGTTACACACCAAAGTTTAGCTAAACTACCTGCTTTGGCATGTCAGAGGTCAGGTTCAGCAACTTGATCTCATTCTTGACAGCTTTAAAGCCACATGAAATGCTTTGAGAATAAAAGTTCACAATTGTCCTGTAAACAGGGGTTGATCAAGTCATCCAAACAAGACACACACTTACGAATCATTTCCTGTTCCTCTGATCTGCAGCTGAACCCTATTGTCTAAGCACATCATGTTCTAATTGTTCTTTCATTCTACTCACAACTGTAAAAAAAACCAAAAACAACCAAACAGCAGGTCAGGAGACTTTTACGGCCACAAGACAAACATTGAAGAGTAAAACATGTAAAATGTTATAGATAAAAAAAAAAAAAAAAAAAATTGTACAATTGCCACAAAAAATCCTGTGATACAGCGAGGCCGCGAAAGGTGAACTACGTTATAGTGAGGGCCCACTGTACCCCAGAGTGTGTACTTCACATTTTTGTGTTGTATGTGTTTAAGGTGAAATGATTAGATGCTAGAAACATGAATGTGGTATGAGCTCACAGTCAGCAGCTGTATCAGTGACACAGATGTGTGGGCTCAGTTCACAGGCAGACAGGAGGAGGTGTGTTTCACTCCTTTCTCTTTGTAATGAAGAGCTTTATTCTTTTATTGGAGCATCTTTAACCTTCGTACAGTCTGTGAGTGTTACAGCTTCTCACCTGCACATCACTCTTTATTTCTTCCCTTTCCGTTTATCTTGTATTCAACACTGTAAAGAGCTTTTATTATGAAGGTTCTCAGGGAGGAGGAGACTTCCGGTAGAATCGAAAGTCGTTTTTTCTTTGTTCGCCATCTTGTTCAGAGTAACGTATCTGTGTCTGGGAGCGGTCGGTGAGGATCAGCTGTAACGGGACTGTTACCGAGGATGAAGATGATGATGATCGTGCTCCTCTTACTCAGTAAGAAACACACACAGAGGTGTTTTTAACCGCAAATGTTCACGTTCATCGAGCTCGTTCATGTGATGAAGCTCGTCCCCGCGGCCTCCGTGCAGGGCGGATCCCGCACTTTCAGTTGGTTTTATCAGCTGATCATATGTGTGTGTTTAAACCAGGGGTCGGCAACCTTTCTGATGATGAGTCTAAAATTTCCTCAGAAGTAAATGTGCCATATGATTGCTAGCGATGTGCGGTGTTCCAGATCTACTGGTGTTTAGATCAACTGGCGTTGGTCGAACAGATGTGTGGCAGACTTGCGTTTCAGGAGCTTCTACCGACAAACCAGCAAAAAAACGCCAAATGTGTCACCTGTGACACTTGTGAGGTTATCTCAAACACACTCTGTCAGTCTCGATGTTGTTGATTGCATTGCAAATCCGTCAGCAGATAAATTGGAGCAGCCGGGCTACGTAAAAAGTTTTAGAGGGGCGTGTCCAGCGGGTGTGTGGACGGGAGCGTGAAACAGTCGCTCCACCTCAAGTCACTACTGCGCAGACTCTAGCTGTGTCCCATTTCAGGGTCTGCACGCTTGAAGTACGCGCACTACGCGCACTACGTACGTGCTTACTATAAGTACGAGAAGTGCGGAAGTGAGAGGCGTGTGAAATGGGACGCCTAGCAACCATGCAACCACCTAGAATGCCTAGCAACCATGATACTAACCGCGAGACACGTTTCATACAGCTTTGTGTGACATAAATGAAGGAGAAAAATGTTTTGTTGGTCATTCATTTTTGTCATGACATCACTTTGATTAGTTGAGTATCTGAGGCTGAGACCACAGGACTGTAAAACATGATT